CCCACCCCCAGCCCCCTACCCCCACCCCTGTAATCGCATGTTCTTTTAAAGAGAGCACCCAGTGAATTCCATGGGAATTCAGTAATGCGCTGTTGCAGAGTGTTTATTCTTCCATCTGTTTTACCCGGACTTTAATGCGTATCTGATTCACGAGGTTTGTCAGGGGCAGTTTTTTAAGTTTTTTTTTAATTTGAATGCTCATCTAACTGCAGCAGCTGGTGGAAAGGCACACCTGGAAAAGAAGAATTTGTTCCAAATGAAGCCAGAAACTGATTATTTGTATTCTTTCCCCCCCAAGCTTTTAGTCATAATGTATCCTTAATATGAATATATCAGCAGACCCCTAACAGTATGGTATGATATTAACCTCACAGACTGTTGTATATATAAGAGTCATTGGTTGGATCAAGCTACAGTTTTACTAAGTTAATCAGTTTACCTGCACTGTCAACATCCCCTCATAGGTTCTTAGGGATAAGATTTAGTAACCAAAGTGTGTCCAACTCAAATAAGTTGGGGGTGCAGTCTAGTAAAGAGTGATTATGCTCCCGCCATAAACTTTCCTGCTCTCCTGCTTAGATGTACGCGATCCCTACTGGTTACTTTGTTGTTATAGTTTTTTTTATTTATTTATATGAGTCAAAGCCCTAGGCAAAATGTTGCCAGACCAATTTAAAGTCCAAAGGAATATTTGTTGGACTCTTCCGTTAACATGTATTTTATCAGTCAGATTTTTCTTTTTTCTTTCCTTTTTAGTTACATAGTAACTAAATAATACTAAATGTTTTCTAATGTCATTGAGATGCACTAATAGATACAGACAGAAAAACAAAACATTGGAAACTAAATAATACTAAATGTTAACTAAAATGTTACATGGTAACTCAAATGTTTATTATTTTCTAATGTCATTGAGATGCACTAATAGATACAGACAGAAAAACAAAACATTGGAAATGTTTGAGTAAAAATTGCTGATGGCAATATCTGGATTTTGAACACATTACGTCTAGAAAAGTCACAGTTTTATTTCAACATTCAGATCCAGGTGTTTTTCTTTCACCCTGGCCTGTCCTGATGATGCTCTCTGTAAGAGATGTGAGTATCAGGTGATTTTTTTCTTTCTTTGTTATCAAACCGAGTTTTTTTTTTCAAATCTTACATTCCAAAAAGGAAGTGATAACATAAGGGTCCATGTTACTTTTGTTTTCCAAAGACAGAGATCCATAAGTGCCCCTAAGAGTTCAGAGTTTCTGTGGTTTAATTTAATCTGGAGCTATGTTTGATTTGGACTGTCTGAAGGTCTGCTGCTTGTGTGCAAAACCCAGTTCTTTTATATGGTCCTATACTGGATTTTTTAACCAAGTGTGTAAGAAACACTAATACTTACCATCTGGTAACAAATTACATCCACAGGGGTAGGCTACACGACCTACCTAAGAGAATCCAGGAGACACTGAATCCACCCTGAAGACCTTTGTTTTTCATCAGCAATTCTATCTGAGAAAAAGAAAACACCAATGTTTTCACTGGTTTGGTGCCTTAGTCTATCCCAAACTCACTTCCTTTCTTCATATATTTCCGTCTTTGACCATTTAGATTCACACACAATCATTGGAATGAGAATGAACTGTATCTTTCTCAAATATTTAACCCCAAGCCTCACATAAAGCAGCATCCATGACACCTGCTTCCTCCACTCTTCTCTTCGACTTTCTGCAGTGAAATACAAAAAACTTCACAATTAGAGGCGTGACAAATGCTGTACTCTAAAGTAATTCAAATACATCACTATCAAGGCAGCGAAATAGTAAGACATGACATTAAATTCTTTTTTCGCACATGATTTTTTCATGCTACTGTAAAACTCTCTGTTTGGTCACCTCAACATTACCAAAAATGTATAAGTGTGTGGAGGAAAAGGTCAGAAGGTGGGTTGAATGTCTGCCAAGACCTCTTTTTAATTGAGCGTGAAGAAGATTGATGAAGAAAACCCGGATGAGTGAAACAGCTCGACAACCATCACCCATTATCTCTCCCTGGAGTTTTAGTTGCCGTATGTTTGATATTACTGCTTTGCTATCTATATTAAATCAGTAATTTGAAGAGATGATGGAACAATAAGAACATAAGGGCTGTAACATTTAACAGACGTACAAACTGTAGCTGGATTGTTGAGAAAAAAAAATGCAAAAGCCACCAGTTTTACAATTCATCTTTGTCTCCCTCAGGTGTTGTTCGCCAAGTAAAGCCTGTGATTGGTCCAATGGAAACAGTGCTGAAACTTTCCATGCGCAACCTGTCAGCTCAGGGCGACTCTGGCCAGAATATCGTCAACGTTCACGTCTTTGTGTCAGAGTTTTGGTTCTAGATGAGGATGCTAGATTTTGACTACACCTATTAAAACTTCTATTGTCAACACTGTAAACTTTGTTTTTTCGGTATATCGATTCATAACTCTGAGAGAAGGTTTTAATGCTATGTTTTGACTATGTTATTTTTTACTTTTGACTGTTCCTAAGATAAACTCTGATGGTAGCTCTCTTTTGTTTTAATGACACGTTCAATTTTAAAGTGCACAATTATGAACAACCTTTTACTGTATTATGCCACTATAAAATGGATTCAGATATTCAAACTCTTTTTTTTGTTGGAAGTGCATGCAAGTAGAGGTCATTAAAGGATATGATAAAATGAATAAATACTTTCTGTGACATTGTAAGCCCTTATTCTTGTGGCATTCACTTGTCCTTTCTTAAAATGTGAATACTTATGTATTTGAGCATTTCTTCCCCAATAGAATAAACACTATTTTAGTTAGAGTACTTGTTTTTGTATTTCCTTACAGTGGCATTTAAAGTATATCATGTCAAAATGTCCATGGAAACTTTGTCAAATTAGGAAAACAAGTTTAAGCATATACGAGAAAGTGAAAAAAGGATTGACATAATCATTCTTCGGCACCAAACTCATAGATTCCTGACAATGTAGTGTCAACTTCTGAAATCATGAAAGACTTATCACACACAAATACTTATCACATGTCATTATGTTGTCAGTAGATTAATTGAAATTGGCTAATAACTTCAAACTCCAAAGTATGTCTAACCCTTCCTTCAGTTATGGACTAGATAGACTCACGCCCTTTGAAAAAAAGCTTTAAAAAAGTCGGTCTGTGTTGTCCAGGAGGTTGCCAGAAAACAAATGAATGGTTTAACTACAACTGTGAGCATTGATGCCAAAAGATCAAATGAGTCCTGAGAATCTGGGACTTGATTCACTTACAGTATATTGCAGTATCTGTCTGGAATATAAGGGAATTAAGAACCACTGTATGGTTAGGCAAGGCCATGAAAACATCATGCGATACCCTGACTGCAATTTTAACAGGAAACTTCATTTCGATAATTCAGATATGTCAATATTAGTGAACAAACAGAGACATATGAATAGAGCTACTTCAGCCGGTTTGCTTTTGTTCTCGGCCGTTGGCGGAATGTCCGTTTCCAAGGTTACATTCGGAACATTTCGTTTGTTTTAGCACCCCATGATATCTGTCAAGGGGTGGATAAGACTTATAACAGCTTGTCCTCTGGATGCCCCGAGAAGAGTTGGAAGTACAGAAGCTTCTCTTTTGTGTATGCATGGAAACACTGTCACTTGTGGTCTTCTTTGTCAGTTTGGTTGAGCAAGTATGCGTGTATATGTGTGTGTTTCAACGGGTGGCAGGGTCAGAAAAAAAACCCCTGTCTGGGGAAGGAATTTCAAGGGAAACGAGGTGGAAGCAGAAACAAAACGAACTTGGTAGGGGGCACCGGCAACTGTATTCTTACTAGCAGTTATCATTGAACCATAACCTATGTTCCCATCAAACTTGAGGGGGTGTATGAGACATGGAGGGAGCTGGTAACATATCAGTAACAGCCTAACTATGAGACTGCAGTCATCACCGTGGCCAGGCATGGCCAAAGCCTCCCAACACTTCAAAGATAACAGAGGAGGGGGTGCATACATCAAGATCTCTAGTCATCTGTTCTGATGGGTTTTAATGCTCCACTAAAGGGGGGAATATCCTCCTCCGAGGAAATGGAGGCCAGCAGGTCATTCTTGTGGTCGACATGAAAAGAAGGGGGGAAGAAATGCGGTTTGTCTCTGTGCGAATTTCTTTGCTTTTTTTTCGTTCTTTTGTGTTTGTGCTCTAACCCAAGAACCCCTAAAACAATACTGTAGCCAAAAGTTTGATGCATGTTTAATGATGTACTTTTCAGTTTTTGTTATGATATTGAGACAAAAAAGGGTGGGGAAAAATCAATCTCACATGCTTGACTATTGTTTGGATCCATCCCTCAAAGTAAAGCAATACATCGTTTTGAATACATATTTTATAACCAAGTGAATTTCTAAGCTCCGACATTGATAGGTTATGTTAGGAGAAAAACACTTAAATCCTGAGAAAATGAAAAGCTACAGGTAAAAACGACCGAGGGACTCAAACAACTAAGCAGGACATTACCAAGAAAAGGCCTGGCTTGCTCCAGAGCTCCACAGTAAGAAACACTGGGGCAGCAGTCCCCTTAGAAGCGTTAGCAAACCGCATGCATGTGTGGGGACAAATGAGCAAATATCTTCTGCCAGATCCTCCGTCCGAAGCCAAGATGGAGCCGCTTGCTTACTGGAGGCCTCGGCTATGACTAAACCCAGTGGGCTTGATGAGTCGACGTAATGGTAAAAGGGAGCAGACTGGCGTGTGTTTGTTTGCGTACTCTGCTGTGGCACAATGGCGGTCAGGCCTCTCAATACAAGCGGTCATGGCGGTGTCTGGCCCGGAGCAGACAGGGTACGGGGCTGTTTTGAATCCTGGTGAGCCCCAGCCCAGAGGACCTCAGGAGGCACGTGCTCGGCCCACTCCTGGACTCTCCCACTCCCTCTTTTTCCTGGCGTCGGACTCCGGTTCCCACCACAACACATGTTATAGGATATAAGTGAGTTATTATAATATATTTAGGGGTATTGGTTTTTTTTCTTTCCTCTCTTTTGCAGCCCACTGCTCCCCATTGCCATAAATTGCCAAAATATAATTGTGTTACATAGGTATCACTAACTTGTAAGGGTTTTTTTTTGGTCTTCAGTGACAATGGAAATCATTCTATGCTCAGAAAAATATTAGGTTTATTTGAACATTTATAGTGGAGCACATTTTGATACATTTTGAGAGCTGAAGGCTAAACTGGAAATGTCCGATGATAAATGGATTTCTTAGTATGTGCCATGAATTTGCCAAGTGATGTTTCTGAGGAGTCCAACAGATGGCAGGCACATACAACGCAACTGCACAGCAAGTGCCTTAACAATAATCCCTGAATGAATGTCACCACCATATATTACACGGGCAATATGAGGCAAACTGAGAAGCAAATGTTTTTACCTAAAAAATAGGGCCTCATTTATGCAGTGTGTCGCTCAGTCGAACAAAAGCTCCAATGATATGTGAGCTCGCTGAATTTTATGCCCATCTTTTTAAAATACCTTCTTCAGGGACTTGACTCTGACCTCAGCCAAATAAAGTGTTGGATGAGACACACACACATGCACACACACGCACACACACATAGGATCCTGATGTATATATTTTTTGAAAAGTCAGCTGGGACTTTCACCCAAAATAGCTCCATAAGTGATTGGCTCCGCAATACTGCACAGTTTCTTCGTGATACGAGGCTCCGATTATTGCATGTCCTTAAATCAATTTACTACTTTTGAGGTTAAGTGAGATGGACAGTTCACCAATCTTGAAGGGGCTCCGCCTAGACCCAAAGAAAGGCATAAAACGTCCAAGTGTGCCCCTCCATAACTTACCGATTTATAAACGCAACCGTTTTCAACCGCTACTGAACTCTAACTGTTGCCAGAGTACACAAGGGATCAATCACATCGGGGAATACAGACCGAGGCTGTACTCATGAAAATTCAGAATGCGGCCTCTGTTGTTGCAAGCAGCTCGGTACACACTGTGACGTCCACGGTGCTTAAATGGCTGGACATGATGGGGAGAGAGGGGGAAATTTCCCCACCACAGTATACCATAGTTTGACAGATGCGCAAAAAAACAACAACCATGAAGCCATGTTGTCTCGTGAGTTGGATGAGTTTTTGATTTCACAGCTTTGATAACATAGGTAGCCTCCTGACATCAGCAAGAGTGGAAAGATGAAGAATTGCTCTTTATTGTGTTATGTAGCGCTGTGAAAACATATTCATGCTCATTACTGCATCATACTATCTAATTATTAGCATAAAAAATTCTAAATCCAACTGTGGAAAAAAAAAGTTTGAAGTGCATATCCAGCTTTATTTGAGAATCTTTCTGCACACCGATGAAAACACGCAACATGGCAGCCAAATGTTTTGTTTCGCTAGGAGGAAGCTAAGAAAGCAGACCAGTGTGACCAATTCTGATGCTGGCGATACTTTGATAACACAGTTGAGCACAGAGGCGGTGCATGGTGCAGCTGTTGGCCAAAGAAGATTTTTCTTCTCCTCCGAATTTCCCTTTCGGATAGTCATCTATTACATTCTTTAACTCTTTAAGAAAGATCCCATTCTCATTTTGTCCTTTTAAACTAGTCTTCTAAAATCTCCTATCGTGTCCATGCACTACTTGCTAATCTCATGCATTCAGAGTGGTTTCAGTAGCAAAATCTGGTGCTTAGATAGCTCACACGATTACAAGTAAATGTCTCAGCTAAACAAGCTAATGCAATGTCCATCCTGTTGCTTCAAAAATGATGGAAACCTGCAAGTAATGCTGTCTTTAGATGATAACATCGAACCTAGATCATCTGAGAATCCGTGTTAGGAAAAATTAGGGAAATTAACTTGTACATAACTCAGCTAAGGCAAGTAGCAAGGATTACATAAATCAGAGGTGATGGGATTTGAACATTAAATTCAAAATGCATCACAATCTCACATAATAAAGCTATGCAATATCACATGAAGAGGCATTCAAATTATATTTGAGGTTAAGGTGGTTTTTGACACTTCCTCCAACACTTCCAACTGGACAGATGGACTTTGGGACCTCATGTGGTGATGTTATAGCCACAACTGATGCATTTCACACTTTAACAAACAGGTCCTGTGTACAAAGGAGCCGAATGGAAGGCACGCAGTGGTTAGTGTTACTGAAAGAATTGGCAGCATATCGTGAGAGTTTTAAACATCATAAAATCTACACTTGATCTTGCTCAGACACAGTAAATGAAACAAACAGCTTTTTTTTTTACAGAAACACATTGTTTTATAATGGCAAAGTTCAATCTTCCAGCAGACATCTGCAGATCATTGTTTCCAAAAACACTGTTTCTGCGT